GTGTTTATTGTGAGGTAAAGTGGACCAAAACAAAAACAAAAGTGCTTGGTTAGATTAGAGAAATGTCTTGGTTTGGCTTAACATAAGTATGTTTGTTATGTAAATAAAGGAAGGGGTAACAAAAATGGATTTCAGGAGATGTTGAGGTCTTTCTGTTTGAAAAAAAACATAGATTGGACTGATAATGTTAGAATTAATTACACTAAAGTACACCAGTGCATATTGACCACAACATATTACTATATCTACTGGAAAACTGTGTGGGACTCTTTGAATCCTACTTAAAGGAAAGGAAAAACGTTGTTCCTATAGGTATCTACACATCTGAGTTGATGATAATGATATATGGGGGTCCTCAAGGCTCTATCCTTGGGCCTCTTCTCTTTAACATCTACTTGCTACAACTGATTCAGATCATGGAAAACATCATTTACATAACAAGCACTGAGTAAGTGCATTAAACCAAGCAATGACTGGATGTGCCAGAACTTTCTTCAATTAGACAAAGATACCATTTAGGTAATTGTTTTTGGAGCCAAGAAGGAACGAATAAAGTCAGCGCTGTGCTTAAATCGGTTAAAAACATTGGGAAAAGCTAGAAATCTAGGTGTATTCATGGGAAATTACAAATTCACCCTACTATCACCTTAAGAATATATCTAGGATTAAAGACTTTTTAATGTCTTTAAACAGGATTTGGAAAAACGGTCATGTTACAGGTATTAAAACAGGATGGAATTGGTTAAGTATTAAAGCCTGCCCCTTGAATAATTTGATTGATTGATTACAACTCAACACATTGCAGTTAAAAGCTGTGAATTATTACTTTTAAGTAAACTCACTGCCTTTGCTACGCATGCTACTGTAGGAAATATCTAAAGTTTTTTTTTAAAAAGCTAAACAGACAGCATATAACGTCAGTCTGTTGTTTTAGGGGTAGTTTAGTTCAAAACAGGAGGAGATCTCTCTCTCTCTCTCTCTCTCTCTCTCTCTCTCTCTCTCTCTCTACCCA